TATTTTTGATTGTGATCTTATTGAGTCCTCAATAGTTCATACACATCCACAAAGATTTGTCTTTTTTCTTCACAAATAAGATAAGAGCCTTGGTTGGAAACTTAAAATGACATATGAAATTCTTAACCAAGTTTTTATTAATATACTCCTTGAGTACAACCGATGTATTTTGTGATAGGCTATAGATTGATCGAAATAGTAGTTGAGTTCTTTTGTAAAGATCAATGTAACAATCATAAAGACAATGCTTTGGAAGAATTTTGTGTTCTTCTTTTCAAAAAGGCCCTAGAAATCTTGATATTGACTAGGAATACCACTTGACGTCATCTCACCATAAAAATGGGTGTGGTATTTAAAGCAAAAGATAACCCTTCTTTTGTGGCATACATAAAATCTCTTATATATATCAGTAAGGGTTTGGATATATTAGACTTATGTATTTTTACTTGACTAATGGAATTTTGGATTAAACTATTAAAAAAATTAAGATTACAAGAAATCCAAGATAATCTTAAAATAATTGGATTGAAAGAAGATCTTATTGCATTAAATATTACTATGTTATTATGATCTTTAATTGCTACATCTAAAGAAACATTCTTATGCAAACATCTCCAAAAGATAATAAATGACCATTTATATCTTCTACATATACAAGTTTAGTTTTCTCGACTAATAATATTTCTTGTTTTCTAACAAAATATTCGTTTATAAAACGTGTTAAGGGTCTTGAATTTAACAAAGCTAAGATTTTATGATTTTTTGGTCTTAAATAAACTTCTATTGTAAAACAAGGTGATGGATCTGAGAAGAAAATAAGACCTTTACTAGGAATTATATAATATTTCACTTGCATGGTCATTATTGTAGTTGAAAAAATTTATTTTTTAACACATTGTCTTCTTTGGCAACCATGCTTTTCATTTTGTGATTGTGTTGTTTCTTTGGACAATGTTGAGCAGTGTAGTTAGTTTCTCTACAATATAAATATAAGCCCTCTTGACATTGTTGAGTCTTTTCCTATTTTGGGAGGGATTTAAAACATATCGTATTAATTTTCATTGGTTCTAGCCTCAATGAATAAGTTTCTAAAAACTTAAGAGCTGTCAAGATTATTTGATTTATTCCTATCTAGCCAAATCTTTGATCTTGACATCTTTTAAATAATCAATTGTCACATGTAATGGCTTAAATAATAAATTATTTCAAATATTTTGATTTTGGCATTGCTAGTAAAAAATATTTAACATTATCCTTCAATCCATATCAAAATTGATTGATAAGGATTTTATCATCCTAGTCCATGTTGCAAGTAAAGTTTTGGAATTCAACAGCATATATGGTGGCTAATCATGATCTTTGCAATAAAGATAAGAGCTTGATCTTTGCTACTCTTTCTCAATTATTTTCTTTGAATGTGGCCATAAACACTTCTAAAAATGAATTCAGATTATAAAATAATTGCAAATCTTTTTCCATTAAAAGTACAAACCAAGAAAGAACACTTTGTGATAGAAGTGTGCCTGTGAATGTGACTTGAGTAAATCCATCGAGGTATTGGAAGAGATAGAACCTTAAATAGAACTTGACTTATTGCAAAAATCCTTAAAATTTTGATCTTGCTCCATCAAACTTCTGAGGCATACTAATCCTTATTCTCATCATACTTGTAGAAGCAAAATTCCTTAGATTTGGTTGCGAGGTCAATCTACCTACTTCTTTTAATTGTATAATTTCTTGCCACAAACTCTAAACTTCTTTTATAGGTGCAAGCATAATACTTCCATAATTCATATAAAAAATACATGAGATTTTTACTCTTAGAGTATTGACAAGGTCATGAAGATCTACAATAGTTATAAATCTATTATCACTTCCACTGAGAGTAGCATCTATAATCTTTTTTTCCATAGATGATTCAAAAAAATTCAAAAAGTTAAAGTAAAAGAGGGTAATCCACAACCTCTAATACCAATTGAAAATTTCCACAAAGAAGGATAATTCACTCTCTTTAAGGAAATAATTAGTGTTAGAAAATAAGATTTTTTTATTTAAAGATAGATAGTCTGCAACCTTCAAAATACAACAATAGAAGTGTAATAATCTACTTAGTTCTAAAATAAGATAATAATAGTAAATTAGCATTATTATCAAACTATCAAAGATATAAATTTTGAAGAAAGAAAATCCTCAATACACTCTTGAGTCAATGAAAAGAACTACAAAGTTACTGAAAGATGATATAATATTGAACTAGAATAGCTATTGCCAAAAACAAGAAGACTAAAAAGTCTTGAAACAAGATTAAAGACTAGAAAGGCATTGACAAGAGCACAAAAGGCTTTACTCTTGCCTCCATATATACTCTTAACTAGGAGCTATATGACAATATCCTATAGGACCTCCAAAACATGTTGACTTTATAAGATACATATCTTAACTTGCAAAGCAAGTTTTTTATATGTGCACTGCATAGTTAGCTTATTTCACAAGCTATCAATACGTGGTTAACTTGCTGATCAAGTTTCTAACCTCCCAATCAACTATAAATACATGTAAAGTCAAAGCAACATTAATGAAGCTTCTAGAAAGCTTCTCTAGAATGTTTTATAAAATTAATCTATTTTTATTTACTTTTACTATTTCTACCTAATCATATAGGTATTTACTAGAGTACCTATATATATTTGTGACAATACATGAGAAACTATTAGAATTAATTAAAAAAAAATGAAATGCTATAAATCAAGCTTTATAAACAATAAATACTACTAATACTATGAATAAAAAATGAGCATTTTTAAAAGATAAGAGAATAATATGAGATAAAAAAATAGGATATAAGAAATAAATTTTAGCAATTACATTGATCTTTATAATACAATAGTTCAATAATATATAAAACATAATTTTTTTTTTAAAAAAAGAATAATAGGAGAATAGAAAAAAGATTTATTCATAAGTAAAATAGAGAATTGAAGGTGCTAAGTGCTTAAAAAAATAAGATAAATGATCAAAATATGATATAGCCAACTTACAAGGATTTTTATACAAAGTTATGTATGGATTCAATCAATATATTGATGTAATTGTTCTAAAGAATTCCAAAAAACTAGTTGCCTTAATTTTCTCAATTTATCTTTTATAGTTATAAATAAATAAAATTCAAAAGACTAATTTTAAATAAGGTATACATTAGCCTACAATAATTCCTTACTTATATATTTACTCACTTTCATCATTCTTTAAAGTATAAAATAATCTAATATGATGGTATTTTAAAATTTTATTTTATTTATGTATTTATATATATATTTAGAAAGATATTAAATAAATAAAAATAAAAATAAAAATAATTAAATATGCATGTAATATAGAATTTAGAATTTTTGGAGACCAAGAATGAAAAGTCATATTATTTATAAATTCTATTGTAAAGATTTTGTTTTGAAAACATCTTATTGAATTATATTTAAGATATTAGCAACCTTCAAAATGAAAACATTGGATTGGTCTACATAGTATTCTTAAGAAAATCTTGTTAGAATATATCTTGTAAACTTATTCTATCAAATTAAGTATAGTACAATATTCTTGATTTGAAATGCATAGTCTAATCAGGTTTAAAATCTATATAGTGAGTAATTACTAAAGAATTTTATTCTATAGTTATTTTTTTCCAAATTCTTTAAAAATATATTGAATATAACCAATAAAAATAAATAAATATCAATTTTTTATATTAAAAAATTATAATAGTTATATAGATGAAAAAAACTAAAAATAAAATATTGCATATTATTTTATAGAGAAGTTGCAACCCTTAAATTTAATCTCTTGAACTTACTATTGGTATTTTGGACTAAATATCATAAAATATATAACCAAAAACCTAATAAGAAGCATCTATAAAAAAAATGCATGTTCTATGGAATTTGAGTTAGTTTTAATAGAAAGATCAATTAAAATAATGTATCTACTCCAATTAGAGTAAGCTATTGTTTAAACAAAGAACAAGAAACGAATTTATATTTGTGCAAGTAATATGGCAGAGGAAAGTGGCAATTAATGTATGAATGCCAAAAACTAATAATACAACTTTGACTCAATGCAAATTTTGTGTACAAAGACAATCTAAAATAATTTCATATAAAGCTTCGGAATGTTTGTCCACAAAAAAAAATATAAAGCTGAGCTATATTAGTATTTCATAAATTAAAAACAAATCCAAGAAGGTGGAGACAATAAAATATTTTTTCACACAAACAAGTTGTAAATATAAAAGAAATTTCTACCAAGTTTAAACAAATTTGGGTTAATTTAGATATAAAGAAACAATTCTTTTTTTTGATAAAGGATTATGCACAAAAAACATACTATAAAATTTGTGTACTGATTTAATCGAACATGATTGGATGCTGCAAAAATCCACTAGTAACAAAATAGAAAAACAACCTCCAAATTGCAAGGGCCATACTTTGTTATTGGAAAAAAATATATATATAAAAAAATTAAAAAATGATATAATTTTTTTTTTGAAAACTTGAAATTCCACAAAGCAAATCAATCACACACAAGATACAAGAGTCACTCTAATATTGTTTAATCTTAGATAGTCATGCTTTATAGCTTCATTGGCCACCTTGTTTTGCAAGGCATGAAGGTTCTTGTAACCTCAAACTAATTCGAACATCACATATATCCCAGTTATGTGAAAAAAATAAGGTAACCAAAAAAAAAAAAAAAAAAAAAAAAAAAACCCCACTATCCAAACAGATTGATGATTGTCCTTGAGTGGGATATGATCGTATCCAAGCCAAGCAAGTCTCAGCTTTAATGTAGGAAGTCCACTTGAACTTGTTTAGATGTGAAAGCACAAAAAGGAACAAACGAAGGCCGGTCTGGACAAAGTCGCAAGTGTGAACAGGTGCATTACAGATACTGTCTGACTTGGCTTCACCAAGCTCGTCTTGCGTATTTACGAATCACTCGCGAGTGGCGGCACAGATTATATAGACATCTATATACATATATATTTTGCATATGATCTTTTGCCAGGTTCTAAGCGGTGGAGCTTGCACTTACATCATCGACATTGCTCTCTTGGACTTAGTTCTACTTTCGTAGTAGCTTATTAGGTTTGAAGTATCGGAGCATGTCATGCTTGCTGAGAATTGGTGGTAGATGAATTGGATTTGGAGTATTGAAGTTTCTGGGTCTAGGTTTCCTATTGTTAATCCTTGGCCTAACCCTCACCATTTCTCAATGGGCAGGTGCTCATGAATTGTGGGGTGGGTCGGATTGATTGATACATAGCTTGGAAGGATTGAACCACCACAGAATGAGCGGATGAGTGGTTATTAAATTGGGAATGGAGGAAGCCAGGGGGAGCTGCAGCAGCAGCAGCAGGGTGGCCGTGGCTGCGACCGCTGCCGTATGTGTAATCGCTGTCTCTGGAGCGATTTTTTATACCCATCATCGTCGCCTGGAGAAACTGCAGAAGCAGCTAGTGTGGGATGATAAACCTCAAAAGAGGTTCAAGCGTGTGTTGGCTGACAATTTTGATTCTCCATTTCAGCATTTTCCATCTCCTCTCACGGGTTTGTTCCCATGTAACACCTGGTGGCTGTCAAGATTTTCGGATTATTTATTGGTTTTGTGGTAGTCTGCCTGTTGCGAGGTTGCTTAAGCTCATAACTTTATTCCACGCCTCGCAAATACAGTAAGAAGACCTGTTCATATTTCTGCTGCAATGCTGACCTCAAAGTTGATGGAAATATTGCATGTAGATCATCACAAATCTAACTAAAGTAAATGTAAATTAAATATATGAATTGCTGCGGTTTATAGTAATGAAATCCATTCATGCGCGTGATCTTGGAGTTCAGGTTCACAAGTGGGGCATCCTTACGAAGATGTCATTCGGGGTCTTGCGGAGAATCCAAATCTGTCATTTGCGAATTATTACAGCGATAATGTTTTGCCGCCTGGTATGGAAGGGCCATGTCTTTGGGTTCAGACGAGAAGTCAGCTGGAGGCACTTGTAGACGTGTTGAAAGGAGAGAAAGAAATTGGAGTGGACATTGAACATCACCATGTGCGCTCATTTCGCGGCTTTATACCTCTCATACAGGTATAGACAATATTGTTGTTGCTGTTGGAGTGCAAAGAAACCTACCGTTGTGTCTCGCTACGTTTCTTCGGAATGCCCTTTCAAACCGTAATCAAGGATGCTATTTTACAGGCTAGATAATTCGATCAGAATTCAGATCGGATCAATGCTTACTTTCGATTGTTTAGGGCATGTACTGCACAAACTGACTATGTTGAGGGATTTTTGAAATAATACAGATCTCAACTTATTCGACTGACTATCTAGTGGACGCAATTGCTTTGCATGATGACATGCACCTTCTTCACCCAATATTTGCCAATCCAGCTATTCTGAAGGTACTGCCGCAGATGCTATCATGTCGTAATTAGGTCATTTAACTAGGAAATCGGAGGCACTGGTTCGGCTCTATAAGCCGCTTGTATGCCTGGTTCCCAAGCTTGACTAATCATGTGTTTTGGAAAATTGACAGATCTTTCATGGTGCAGATAATGATAGCCTTTGGTTGCAGAGGGATTTTCACATTTACATCGTCAACTTGTTTGATACAGCTCGTGTGAGTATTCGTTGACCATGACAATACTTGAAAAATTACTCTGACTTGTATGTGCAGTTAATGTTTAGTCATGTAGTGCAGTGATAGATTAGGAACTTATCCACAATCTTTTTAAAATTAAATTATAGTTCACGTGAATTGAGAATTGTGCAGGCTTGTGACGTTTTAGGGAAGCCACAGAGATCTCTGGCTTATTTATTGCAGTTGTATTGTGGTGTATCAACGAAAAAAATTTACCAGGTATTGGCAATCCATCCACAATTTGCTGGCGTATCAGCTGGAGCAAAATCTGTGTTTTTCTTGGATATTTGTGCTGTAGAATGATCTTCGTTGCAACATTTGAAGTTACTAAGACGTGCAAACATGATACTCACGGTTGACTAGAGGTCAGACTGGCGAGTGCGCCCATTGCCAGCGGAGATGGAGATTTACGCACGCACAGATGCGCACTACTTGCTCTACATTGCTCAATGCATGCGAGCCAACTTAGTCCAGGCTTGTAATACCCCATCTTTACTGTGAATCAGTTTCTATATGTCACGGTTTAAAATTTATCATATGTTTCTGAGTGAAGGACATTTTACTTTGTTTTATTCCTTATTGTTGATGAACATTAATTAGGAATTCTTGTCACTAGGAACGATTTTTTCAAGGACTGGACCAGTACTTGTGAATTGATCGCTTATTATTTGCAGTTTCGATAGTTACATCTGCCCTTTTTCTCAAGTTTTTGAAGGACTACAAAGAGGATGGTTGGTATTTGTCTTTTGCAGCAAGGAATGACAATCAACTTCTACTGGAGGTTGTACGTCGGTCGAATGCAGTTTGCCAACAACTCTATGAGAAGGAAGGGGTTGGAGACTCTTCATCTGCTGTGGTGGCATCCATTCTTGGTCGATTGTATAATAACTCAAATTCTGCAATGCGAGGCGAGGTTAGTGACGCTTTAGTCGTTTAATGTAAGCATTTGGTTTACCGTTTAAGACATTCTTATCATTCATCATTAACGTCTTCTCAAGCGTTAGCTATCTGAGATAAGTGATGGCTGTGTTGTGTAGGAAGACGCCTACCTTCGAAGGTTGGTCCAGAAACTCGTCGAATGGAGGGATGCATTGGTGGGTATATTCTCATAATTCAGGTGTAGCTTTTGTTGAATTTTGACAGACTGAACTCGCTATGTTTTAAGCAGGCAGTGGTATAGTTGAGCTGAGTAAACGACTTGCGTTGTGCAGGCACGTGCAGAGGATGAAAGTTTGCGTTTTGTGATGTCCGACGCAGCTCTACTAGCGGTAGCTAAAGAGAGACCTCTCACTGAGGAATCTATCTTGAGTACAATAATTTCCACAGATGAATTGTCGCGAGCCTCGGAGACAGCGGTGCCCGGGTTGCAACCTCTACCATCACCATCTCCAGTTGTTCAAGAGCATGTTGGTCTTCTTTGTGATATTCTGTGGGACTTTGCAGAAGACCCCAAGGATGATGTGTGGCCTTGGAGGAGCACCACAAATTTAAGTAATCCTGCCGATTCCCTTTACGAAAAATTCTGCAGTATACTTCATATCCCTTCAATATCGTTCCTTTGGGGTAGTAGTAGTAGCTCTAATGTAGTTCTGGTCACTGAGAAGGATGGGAAATCCATTGGAAGAAAGGGACAAGAGAGTTGGGTGCGCAGAACCATTCCTAAGAAATGGCGTGTCGGTAATGCCGAGCAAGCGCGTCTACAATTTGTGAAGAAGTTTTCTTGCAAAGCGCCAGTTTATCACAACTGCCGTATTTATGCGGGTGATGGCCGTCTTCTTTGCTTTTGTGACCGCAAGAAACTCGAATGGTGAGTTGAGTTGGCTTTGCCTGTTTACTGTATCTCAGGATTGCCTCTGCTCGTATTTAGTTTGGGATTGGTCTCTGTATAAAAATGGTTGATTTCATGACCGAGATGTACGTTCTGCCATGTTCCTGCGTAGGTATATAAAACGAGGTTTAGCAGAAGACATGAATGAGGAACCTCCAGCTATACGATTGCTCTTTGAACCGAAAGGGCGACCTGAAGATGAGAACAATGAGTTTTACATATCACGCAAAAGCAACCGCTGTGTTGGCTGTGGAGAGAGTAGTCACTATCTTCGGTATCGCATCATACCCTCATGCTATCGGCAACACTTTCCTGAACACTTAAAAAGTCACCGCTCGCATGATATAGTGCTTCTCTGTGTAGACTGCCACGAAGTTGCACACAAGGCTGCTGAGAAACACAAGCGTGAAATCGTTGTCCAGTTTGGGGTTCCCCTCTTTGCCCATCGGGTGGTTGATGGTGGTAATGAAACTGCTGGTTCAAATGAAGTTTCTTTTGTGGCTGAAGGAGAATCAAGAGGAGTGTCGCCCTTGCAACTTCGAACTGCTGCCATGGCGCTCACTCGTCATGGACCAACGATGCCAGTGGAACGCCGGAAGCAGTTGGAAGAGGTATCTTATATGATTTTTTAACTTGAAGAAGGTTGTTTTGGTGTCGTGATTTTTAACAGACCATGTTTTTCTCCTTCGTCAGATGGTTGCATTCTAGTTTGTACTATTCAAAAAGCGTATTGTAAGCCAGAAACGACTGAATATTTGCGGGAGAGTTTCAGAGTGATAAATATTGCTTCAGCTCTTTTCTTGGGCATCAGTTCGATGCAAGTTTCCTTGTCAGAACGGAGTCCTGACTTGTTCAGGCTCTTGCATCAGCTTTGAGCAGCGGTACTAGAATGTGACTCTACTCTTACGTTTCTGCAAGTAAAACATGGATGTTGATGTTAATTCTGGAAAAAGCTAAATCCTGGTGCGAAAGGCGAAGATATTTGGTCTGATTTTGAGGCTCCTGTGAGTGTAGATTCTGAAAACATATTATGGAGGCAGGGAGATCGGGCCTGAGGATTTGAAAGCAGCTCTTATAGTTGGAATGGGGCCACGTGAGCATCGCCGTTTTTTAAAGAAGAGGTTGCAAAGGCAACAACGTGCAAGTAACACCAATAGGAGTGAAGACGTCGATAGTGTTGATACCAAAACACACGGTTCGGTTCAAATGTCACAAATCGTCTCTGATGCTATTAACAGTATCATGGATGAGATGGAAGATGGTACACTACTTCTTCCCTCCAAGTCTAACCAGGAAGAGAAGCCGGAATTAGGAATAAAATCTGAAGCTGACAAAGCAGAGAAAGGCAGTGGATCAAATGAAGACCTCCAAGCAGACGCTTCAGGTAGCGATGAAGATATTAAAGAGTCTCTTGTAGCAGAACCTAGTCGAAGGCATTCTCGACGGTCTATTAACAAAGAGTCCCTCCTTGGTCACGGTCCTCACGGTAAGCAGGTGGTGGATATAATTATTGAGAAAGAAGGAGATGAAGGAATACGCCAATTTTGTCAGTTATGGAGGGCAGTGTTTGTGGATGCTTTGCAACCGGCATTTCTTCCGCCTGGATGGGACGTAACTCACAGGTTTACATCCTGTATCTCTAAGTTCTTTGCATGTAGTCCTTTCCAAGCGCTATACTGAATGACCCCTTCAAGGAGGTCCTAACTGCCTTCTAAGTTTAAAATTACTCTTCAGCATACTTAATCCTGTTTTAAAAAAGAAATCAACCTAATGAATTTGATCTGTGAACAGTGGACGTCGAGAATTTGGTGATTTCAGTGTGTACAAGCCTCCTGAGGGTCGAGATGAACAACATTGAAGCATTGCGCTTCTGAAGTGATCAGAGAACCATACACCTGGAACCTACCGTCGGGTGAGGTGTTCTCACCCGAGTAGCTTCATTTGTGTTTTAATAATTTCAGTTTGCAATTTGTGTCCTGCCTGTCACATTTTTCGCTCTTTTGTTGCCGGAAACGATGATAATAACCACGACTGGAGGCTGTTGTCTTGGCCCTGGTGATGGAAAACTTGCGCTCTTCAAAGCCTATGGCTCATAAATTCGACCCAAATTCATGGTCCCAGTATGTTAAAGAATGGGTACGCCATAGTCCGAATGTTCGCTCGTAATTTTGACTCCCACGACAGAAGTTGAAGATTGATGATGTAGCTTGTGGAGTTTGGGTGGTTGTATCTGAAATTCACCAAGCTACGTTTTACAAATGTACAGTTACGTTTTTAATTTCAATTTATTGATTTGACAAATATTGTCTTGAGCAGATTGCTATTGGAACGATCAATTTTTTACCACGCTTGTCCTTTATTTTGCTTCTGGAACCTTGGATTCTGGCTGGAACGATTGAATCAATCAAACATGTCAGACTACATACCACTAACTTATGAGCTATGTTAAAGACTTAAGACACGGTTTTCTAGTATGCTTGCCAGTATTACTATCTGGGCCCTGTATATATGATCACGGGATTAGATTGCCGTTTCTCAGAGATTCTCCTGTTGATTCATGAGGGATAGAAGTATCTTCCTGATTGCCTCAACAGCCACTTGTGGCGAAAACGGATCATGCTTTCCGTCTTGTCAGTACCGAATGTTTTATGTCATCGGAGGTCTCATTCTGCAAACCATAGGAGTTATTTAATTATACTTTCAAATGAATCCAGGGAATTGCTGCCCCTACACATGCGTATTTCGTATATGTTCTAATGAAAGAGTCGATCGATGACCTAGTTCTACCAATAATGCTTTTCTTCCCGTGGCCCTGGCCCATGGGTTTCTGTGTGTTACATGTCAAGGAGTCACTCTTTCACCTGAAAATCTGATACCATGGAGTATCGGGAAGACCGATTACTCGTCCCTCAATTTTACTCTGGTTTCGGTTTTCTAGACGTCATCGGTTTGAATCACTGGATTCCGATTGGTTGCCTTTCACTTTGATGCTTACTGTGCACTGAAATGACATAGTCCCGACAGTTCTTTGTTCATATCTTTCTCACCAATCATGGATGCCACATTCTGCACCTCAACTTTGGCATGTAGAGATAATCTTCTGTGACCTTGAATCATCTCTTGCGCTACCGTGTATATGGCCTGCATAGACAGCTCTGATGGTGGAGAACCTAGCGAAATACAATGAGGCATCTCCACCATTCAATTTGTGTGTATACAGGCCATGTAAAAGGCAGCATAAAGATGGTCTCATGACCTTAAATTTGCAGCGTTAGTGATGCAAGTGGTCGTGAAATGGTTGTTCAATGTTGAGGCCGTAAATCATACAGTATCTAAATTTCAGAAAAAAATGTAACCCCCTTTCCCATAGTTTCATTGAACGATAATAAAATGATAAGACATAGTCCATCCACAAAAATCCCAAGTCTAGTTGTACTTAAGTAATATAATTTTTTTAAACTTTTTGAGCCAGATGTATGGAATCCAACATGAAACGTCAAACACACACTACAACTTGGAAGGTTGAACAGAATGCAGTGCTTTTCTCACTGATAAGTCGTTGTGCTTCTAACTTTTGCCAGTCTCTCACTCTTCAATAGCCTGCAACGCAAGGTAGCATTTCAATAAATTTAGAAAACACACGACCGTTTGAGCAAGATTTTTAGTCACAAAGTCCACACATCACTATTTCATGCTTCATAAAGAATTTGCAGACTTCGTAACTATTTCAGTGTAATAGGAGAGGAAGCACCTCTTCCCATGGATGCCCTTGTGAAACTTGTGTGTGGTTAAGACCAACTTCCAACCTCACCTTCAAGGTGGGTAGACTGTCACATCATCACCTGAAAGTGATGAATCTAATCTTTGAGCAGGATTATAGATCTATCTGTCGCTTCACAAGAGATGGGCTAGGTTATAAATGAGAAAAAGCTTAGAATAACCTTACCCTTGGATGCAAGCTTTAAATTGTCGACCTCTTCTCAAATCTATTTCTCCTTCTTCTAGCTGCATCAATACAATGACCAATCGTAGACAGAATAAGAAATCCATGTTTATCTCATCTTCAAAGTCAAGTATTACTTAGTTCAAACAAAACTCGCAACTCCACATCATCATCATCACCCATGTGAATGATGGATCCAAATTATCATCCATGTGAATTTGAATCTGAAAAACTTAGTCTGTTAAGAAAAATTACTAACGATTCTTCTTAAAAAAAAACACACAAAAATCCCAGGAAATCCCAATAACCTCATTCTTCTAACACAAAATCGCTAACGCTGACAGGATGCAAAAACAATCACAACTCTTCACGTTGCAACATAAAATCAAAAGAGAAATTCCGAAACTACGAACACGACATTTGACAATGGTAATGCCTGCTAGTATGACGGCGTAAGCGATTATAGATCTTCACAGACAGGAAAAGGTGAATAAAATTACAAATAATTCCTGAAGCAAGGAGAATCTCACAGGGTCACCGCCGTAAACAGAGTTGTAGCAGGTAGAGGAGATACAGGCCAATGCACAATTCTCCTTGTCAATCTCTGATGCTTTACAGGCATCGCCCCATAGTCCACTGCTAGTTTCCACATACAACACGCATTGTCCTTGTGAAACACCAAAAATCTAAACCAGGCTAAGGATCAAAGCACATCAACATTATCAATAGCGTCGCCACAATAAAGCTATAGAAACAACCACCCTCCGCTCCCTCCCTGTAAATGGAAATTGAAACAACAAACCAAATTCGGTAAGAATCAGAGGATGTGCATCTTGGAAAAAGAATCTCGTACTTGTCAATGTCTTGATAGCACCGCACCTTTCTATCTGCAATCTCCCTGTCCTGAACAGAACAGCAAACCATCACCATGCCCTCCCGTCACTTATAAAGACAAAAAGGTTCACTCCTACTCAAACTTCTTAAAATAAACTCCCCTGACACCGATCCATGTCATTCCTACTCAGAAACTCTGAAACCAAAAACTATACGAATAGAACGAAACCTAAAGCCCAATCGGTGCATTATTCGTTACAGACACAGTGAGGCATTCTACATAAACCAAACGGCAAGACCACTCAACGCAGACAAGAAAAAAACTAGAATTTAAAATTACCGAGCCGCCCATCAGGTGGTCAACCGCAATTGAGGTTCCATGAGCGAAGGCGAGGCAGAGAGAGAAGAGTAGCAGTACCGCCAACGTTGACGCCGAAGCAGACGATGCCATAGCTAAAAGCTGTCGGCAACATGGCAGTGTAAACTATCACTCCACTTTGAAGCCGGAAATCAATAGGGGAATGCTTCCATCGATACCTGTATCCGCCGGGTATATGTATGCCGCCGAAAGGTCACCATAATGTCACAAAACTGGGTTATCTTTTAACTTATATCGTCCAGATCAGCACATTTTTGGATGAGGTCCGCCACGTAGGACCTCTGTTGCAGCTCTACTTCGGCGCCTTGGCGCCTTGGGTTTGCTCAAGACCTAGAACTCACAACCTTTGGCAAGCTTGTCACTGTGTGAGCAACTCCGGCGCTGGAATCTCATCGTTCGGAGTCATCCTGCCGATGGCGCAAGTGTTGAGAGAGTCGTAGTCCCATCTCTGTTAAAGGGAATTGAATAACTTAGAGGCAGTTAAGAATTTTCGTAGAGTCTTAGTGAGGTGCAAGTGGGGTTTAAGAGTGGTTTTAGAAGGTTTTGCGAAGGTTGTTGTGTAATTGTATGCTCGAGGCTGTGACGAAGAGAAGGGTAACGGATTCCGGTAGGAGCTTGTGGTTTTCGGCATGCGGAAGTATGTTGGAGACATGTAGAAATATAAGGGGATTGAATTGTAGGGATGATCGAGGGTTTAGGAGGATTTAAGGGTAGGAGTTTTGGAGTGGGATTTTGAGCATTTGAGCTGGTAGAATGCTTTTTGAATTGTGACGTTTCGTAAAAAAGTTGATTCCAAGAAGAGGTTTGGACTGGGTTCATTGGAACAATGGAGTTATGTATGCGGACGCAGCTGAATTCTACTGCGCCGGCGTGCGAGTTTAGGAGCAGCTTTCGTCCAAGCAATAGTAGGATAACGAGAGCTTCGTTATCCGGGGTGGGGAGGAAGGATTTGAAGAGACCCAGCCGTATTTTCTCACAGAATGGTCGTTTTTGGTGCTGTATTGGAGCTCGTGAACGAGTGCCTTTTTTGGGTCATTCAAGGAATGGTGATGTGACTAGAGATTTTTCTTTGTCTATCAAGTCTGGGAAGAATATAGCCGAGAATGGAGAAGACGTGGTTTGCAATGTGGAATTTCTACGAGGAAGCGGATCTGGAGATTCAGGAGGGGGTTGGGGCAGCGGTGGTGGTAAGGGTAGGGATGGGGATGGGGACGGAAATGGAGATGAGGATGACGCTGATGGTATGGAGTCTACTCAAAACCACAAATTTTTAGGACTTCTGCTTGCATTCTGTGGAGTTTCCTCCATGAATGAGGGGCTTCGAAAATGGTGCCGAACATCAGCAATTGCCCTGGCAGGCTTCGCTGTCTTCCTCTTACAACAACAGTCTGCTATTGCCCTCCTCGGACCGAGAGAAGTGGTTGATAAAGCTCGCACAGGGATTTGGGAAGTTAAAGGCGGACGCTGGAAGTACCTTGTAAAACATCCTGAGAGAGATGAGTTTGTGGTACAGACAGTGAAAAATAGTGAAGAGGAAGCTCTCGCCTACGAGGAAGAGTTGAAGGGAGAAACAGCGAATGAGAAACCAAAAGAGGCAGCTCCTCGTGATGGTGTTCAGAAGGGGGTGAATAGTGTTATTACACGGTTTGTGGAACTTGGAAAGCAGATTGTGCTGCCCGACGGTTATCCCCAAAGCGTGACGGACGATTACTTCGAGTACACCCTCTGGAGGATGGGTCAAGTTATTGCCAGCCAGATTAGTGGAGTTCTCACTACGCAGGTTGTGACGACTCCCGTCATGTCCTTCACAAATGGCGCATTTATATTCAGTTTTTTTTTTCTTCATCTTTGCAAGTGTCAAATGCAAATTTGACCTGCATACATGGTGAAAGACGATGATATGAATCACCTAGCTTTAATTAGTTTGTTCCACATAATAATATTGAGCTCAAAAGTAGGTCAAAATAGGTAAATAATATCTCGATTGTTAAATCGGAGGCGCCGTTCCGGTAATAGGATGTAAATCGCGACTGCGTGCTTTGATACCTGAGTAATTCTTTATGATCAGTGTGAAGCAACGGAAGTATGCTTAGAATGTTGCATTTTGTAGCTCGATTTTGAACTTAGATTTGTGGTTGTATTACCTTCTGCAGGCTTTACTATATGCAGTGGGATTGGGAAAGGGCGCTATACCAACAGCAGCTGCAGTAAACTGGGTGCTCAGGGATGGCATTGGTTATTTGAGCAAGATAGTGCTCTCTAAGTATGGTCGGCATTTTGATGTGCATCCCAAAGGATGGAGACTTGTGTCTGACTTAATTGAAAACATGTCGTATGGTTTGGAGCTGCTGACACCCGCTTTTCCCCATCTCTTTGTGTATCTGGCAGCAGCTGCTGGGGCTGGTCGTTCCGCATCTGGCCTCATACAGGTATACATGCTTAAGGGTGGGCTGAAAATGTGGTTGAGTTTCAATTTGGACTTGTTGGAGATTGTAGGTTAGTTCTGAATATTGTATCGAAATAGCTGCATGATGAGCTCTAAATTCGTCCTTCTCTCTCCAGTCCCCGCTGATATTCTAATTCGAGTTGGCTGGTACAGGCCGCAACCAAGAGCTGTTTCAATGCCGGGATGGCGGCTAATCGAAACTTTGCTGAGGTATGACACTCAAAAGAGTTCTCTTTCCCCCCTCCCTTTTTTTTTTTTTTTTTTTTTTTTTTTTCATTTGATGCGTATCTTGTCGAGTCTGTTTGTATCTTCGGAAAGGTTGTAGAGAATGGGAAAGGGAGGTTAATCTTTTTCTAAATTACACGTTTTGCCGAAATGGTGTCTACTTTTGGTTTGTACCCGACACAGATCATAGCCAAGGGAGAGGCCCAGGGCATGGTGAGCAAGTCTATCGGAATTGCACTTGGTATTGCAGTGTCTGCATATGTTGGCAGCACTGGTCCACTTCTTGTGGGTACTTTTTTTGGAGTCACGGCACTTCATATTTTCTGCAATCTCAAGTCTTACCAGGCGGTGCAGCTGCGAACTCTGAATCCGTACCGTGCAAGTAAGACAAATGTTTTTTTTGGGAAAACAGTCTGACGACCCTTCTTTCATGACAGTATATACGTGTTCACATCCATTACTGTTGGTACTTTTGTCCAGTGGATATTCCAATAAATTTGGTGGTTGCTGCAAAGGATTCTCCCTAGTGTAAATTCTCCTTAGTATAAATTCGACGGTGATGAAGTCAAGGGCGTTCTTAAAACGAATTATTTAAGGTTTAGCTTGATAAATGAAAAGATTGTTGGCTGATTTATTAGTGTCTTGGATCAGGTCTGGTTCTTGCAGAGTACTTCAGAAGCGGCAATGTGGTATCTGTTAGGGAGGTCAATGGAGAAGAACCCATATTTCCTTTCTCGTTCTTCAACTTCAGACTGCGAGGATCAAAGGTTCTTCAAGCTTCTCTGTTACCAAGGTGTTTAATATGTGTAGATCACAATACTGATGTATCGTTCTCAATTAGCTACTGTGGCGTCCACCTACTTTTTGTGTTATGCTCGTACCTTATCCATTTGTCTTCTATTACAGGGAGATGGAACACTATTGTCGGAGGAATCGAAAGCTGTGGCACACTCTATAGAAAATCACCTTGAATTCGGGGCTACATTTGGAGCTGCGGTCAAGACTCGTGAAGAAGCAGACGCTCTACTCGATATTTACAAAAGTGAACGTTATCTTTTATCACAGCATGATGATCGCCTTCTGGTATTCCCCGTTAAATTCATGACTGATTTGATTTTTGTGCGTGAGGACTTCAACCAAGATTTAGGTTTATATATGCTTGATATTTGGGATCGTCTGAGTTGATGTTATCAAAGATTCGATGTGTGTGTATTTTGTGGTCTTTGTTCGCTGCGTCTGAGATATCATTCTATTTTGACATGGACCCGCAGACGTCTAATCTTCGACTGTTAGGCGCTTTTTTCGAAGCATAATCTCAAAATTCATGGCTCAGAAATTTGAATTTAATGCAGGTTGTATTGAAAGAGGGAGCTACGCCACGCGACATGCTGCGGGCCATGATGCAAGCAATATATCTCGACTACTTGCAGGGAACTGGTTTTACATCCCACCGCAACCTTATGCACGACTCTGGCAATGGAGGTGTACTTCGTGTTTCGCATGACTTTGTGGTGAATCAGTTTGAACAAATAAGGCAAGATATTGCTGGTGTTGGATGGATCTGCGAAGGATTAATAGCTCGACCGGCACCAAACCGGCTTCTTGAGAGCAGGCCCTCCCCCACACCTGTAGCTTCATAGAAGCTTAGCTGACTTTGGTCATGAACACTAGAGCCTTCAAGTAGACTTAGCATTTTTATTTTTATTTTTATTTTTTTAACGGGTGTAAGTCTGCCCAAGTCTGTTCTTACAGCTAACACGAAAAAAAGCTGCAGCAATCTTGGATGTACACAAAAATATACTCAGGGAGCCACACCGTTGAGCAGTGTTTTGAGTTCGTGAATCAGTCACCAGGAGAGCTTTTAATGATGCTCAGACGATTGCTGCGCGTTCATTTTGTCTCTCGTGGATATGTTGTACTCTAGCTGCTTTGAGTTTAGCTTGCAAACATGTGTGCCCTGGATTTGTTGAGTGGCGTTTTCATTTACTAAACGTTATCAATGTGAAGAACAACTGTTTGCCTCACAGAGGTCTCCTGAAAATCCATTTTAAAAGTACCGGATGTTTTTACCTTTTACGTCGTATTTTTCTTCATAGATGCTCAAACACAGTTTATTCTACATAGAAGACCCAGCTAGGCACTCACATGACTTAAGTTTGGAAATGGAAGTTGCTCAAGACCAATAGGGCGCTCAAGTTACAAGACCAGCAGCAGCTGGATACATTGCGGCCGTTTCATTGGAAATGAGTGTATGCTTATAAACCCTAGCTTTGATGCCCGGGGGAGAGTATTCTTTAACTGCATCTGGCAACATATCCGTAACCCTAATATCCGCAAGATACCATTCACAGTTAGTGTTGTAACTGTAACAGTAATGACGTGCCGCTTCGTTTCACAATATGTCTCCGTAAGTCCAACGTTAATAATTTCAATCTTTGTTTCCTCACATTCTTTGACAAGCACATCACACATCTCACACGTTACCCATCCATAAACAACTCGTCATTTTCAAAATATGTGGTGACGCTAGTAATCGGTTGTCGCTTCGACCTCTCTAGATTATATCATATTCAGCCACTCAATGAACATAGACAATCTGACACTTTAACCTTCAATCAACAGATGGGGGATACAAATGACAATCGGGCACTGAGCAACATTCTGGATAAGCTTCCGAACATATCCAACGAATTCCCGGAATCAAAGAAGCTGCAGCAAACGAAAAAAGTTGCTGCTGCAAACGAAATTCTTGGAAAAAAACTCCCACGCATAAAACTTCGCAGAAAGGTAAAATCTCATATCAGAAGTAGCAGTAGCATCCGACGACGAGAGTTCAGTGTCACAGACGAGAGTGAAACAGAAGCGGTACCAAGCCCCAAAAAAGTCCACGCAGACGGCAGATTCGGAGAACAGATAGCATCGGCAGCAAAACTCAGGAAGGTTGAAATAAAAAAACAGGAGGTGGTTGCTGAGGCCTCCAGGCTGCAAGCAGCCACCCGGAAAGCACACGCCGAAGTGGCCAGACTGTCGAGAGAGATCGAAAAACTGGAGGCATCAAAGCTGCGAGTGGGGGTTGGAAAATCACAATCAGAGGTGGAGCGACTGGCAGAAGAGCTTCAAGTGTTGGAGAACAGGCAATCGTCATGTCCTTCGATTGCTTCGACTGCAACAACAACAACGCCGAGTCCAGCGCTGAGTACTAGTCCTGGAGCCAAGAGATGGAGCTCTGAGAAACTGAATGTGCGCATGGGCAACAAGAAGCTCAACCCAGAGGAATACGTGATGGAAGTGCAGGACAAAGGCAATGAAATTGACATCAAGCTCAGGATCATGTAATTGCACAACTTGCACCAGAATTCTCAAAGAATTCTTCCACCAGTTTCGGATCTTCTTGTGGGACCCAACTGGAATCTATCTCCATTGCAATTGCAGAGAACTGATTTATGAGGAAGTGAATAACTGCAATCAGTGATTGTTTTGGTGAACTGTAGCAACAAAAAAAACACAAGGTTATCTTGAGGTTGCAATCCGAGCTTGTAGAAAGAAATGAATACCTGATGATGAGATTGCTGCTCTCATGTATGTTGTGGTTCCATACCATGAGCAGAGATTGCATACAAGGATCACCATCCACCTCCCCTTTGTTAAAATTGCAAGATTTACGTTATAACACACAGTTGCGTCTTTTTATCATTTGTATAAACCTTAGAAAATATTTCACTTGCTCACTCTCGTGTGTTTTTGCCAAATATAATTAAAATTATTTTTTATGTTTTACATTTCCATTTCTATTATTATAATTTTATAAAAACTGTTATATATATATATATATATATATATATATATGTATTCAAAAAATTAATAGAGTATTGTAGTACTCTCCAAAATTTGGTTGGCATTTTACTAATAAAAATAGATTCGAATTTCACAGTTTTATTAATTTAGTTAATGAACACATTGTTGATAATACAACAAAACAAATCAATATTAAAATTTTAATATTACATAGGATGCTATGACTATAAATAGTACCTACAACAGAAAAACAACAAGTTTTAAAGATAAAAAAGTATAAAGTTATACTTGAATTTTTATATAATTCATAGTAATAAATTGTTAATTTATAATGTTTTGGCATCAAATTATAAAGCTTATATTATATAAACACACATACACATAAATTCAGCACATAGTGGAAGGAAGATTTTAAGAGAGGTTTTGAATGGTTTCTCAATTACTTCATCAAATATATAGTAATACTAAAAATATAAATATTCTCAAAAATATATATTTAGATAATAAATGTTTTTTTGAAAAAATCCAATTAATATTTTTATTTAAATTAGTTGACAGGTATAATAAAGCAATATTAAAGAATTTTACTATAAAAATATTTTGGATTATTTTTAGAAATTTTATTTTATTTAGAAATAATTTTCCATTTTTATTAGAATCTAACTAATAAATATTATTTTTGAATTAAAAAATCTGGTAGTACTTAATTTTTAACAATACAACGCATTTTGATAAATTTTTGGAATTACAAATGCTATATACATTGCACATGTTTACTGATTTATATCATAAACAGATAAATAATAAAAAAAAATTATTAAATAAAATTATAATTTAAAATAAGTATTATATATAAACGTGTTAAATTAATTACATATACTATAAGGATATTTTTAGGGCCTTTCTATGATAGTAGAATATTTGAAATCATAAATAACTAAAGAAATTTAAATAAATACATAGCAAGTAAAATATTTGTATTTAGTGATAAATTTTTTTTGTTACATATTTATATTAAATTATGTAATCACCTTTATATTATTTACATTAAAAAAATGAATAAATAAATACATAAATAAATAGAATTTGCTATGCTTCTATGAAAATTGAAGTATATTATTACATTAGTATTATATTAGAAAATATTTTTATGTATAACCATAAAAAATCTAAAAAAATAATCATATTTTTTAAAAGATACAAGTATATTGCATTTTTTACAAAAAATAATTTATAAATATTATGATAGACATAGGAATGATATAATTAAATAAATTATTAAACTGATCTATCTAGTTCGTAAATCAATTTATTACATGATATATTATGTAACTATTGATTGATGATTTAACCAATTTTTTTTAAAAACCTAATATAGAATACCAAGAAAGAAATATTAGCCAAATAATCTTATATAGTATAGAATAGATAAATATATTATTTTCTAACCTTTCTAAAATATTTTATAGATTTTTTAAAACATAACCACTTTAAGTAGAAAATACTTCTTATTCATGGCTAAATAAAACTTTGTATTTAGGAAATTTCCAACACATGTCATATTATTTGGTTTATAATCTTCTATAGTTTTTTTATTTAGTTGATTTTTTTTTATATAATGATTTAAAAGGAATTTTTAATTGTAGATTATATAAATGTGTAAATACTATTAAATTTCATTTATTAATATTTTATATCTTGTATAACAAAAAAATATATAATCATAGATATTACTCTCATACTTTATACATTACTAGTAATATTCACTTATAATTCAATATAGTTGTACGTGCTAAGCCATCTCTTAATATCCATAAAAAGACAAAAACAAACTATTAATATTTGTACAAATGCAAAAGGCTATACAATCATTAAATAATATATTATAGAAGGTAGTGTAGGAGATTACTCTCAAATATAATTATAGCAACTCACATAATGCACACAATATATTTTTTTTAATGTTTTTGGAATAGTACTAAACAAATATTAGATTATCTTCTTACATTCTATAAAAAATTATTTTAATCTTATGGATATCAATATTTTTTAATTAGAAGTAACATTTGTAATAATCCACCATCTCAATTTCTTATTAGGCACGTGGTTGCTTATTATCTATAATTAGACTAATAAGTCAAAATATTACAAAAATTAGTAGTTGAGATTGCACCAAAATACATCTTGACATTTTTGCAATATGAAAATTCTAAACTACATATTATTGTACACACAATTTATAACAAGAAACATATTGTTTGCAATAAACATCCACCTATTTATATTTTCTTCAATAATCTTTAAATTATCAATTATTAATTTTACTATATAAATGCAATACCTATAATGAAGTTATTTCTTTTATTTTTGTAATTTTTAAATATATTGAGCTTGTACAAATATATTTTAATATCTTATTATAGAATATATTTATAAAATTAATTAATTAAAGAGAATATTAATTAAAGAAATTAACTAATTTATGCATACTAATGTTTCACATTGTTGATATGGCAAGCTTTAATAAATCCTTTACAATTTTAGTTGCATTATTTTATACAAAAACAGAATTATATCATTGATATGCATTCAAATACATTACCAATATTTATAAAGCATTAAACCAACTATTATTACTACCAATTAAGAACTAGTATTAATAAAAATGCTATGTTTTTTATGTTTTTAATGCCATTCATTCATTATGTGATTAGTAAATTCAAAAGAATGTATCCACTATTTATTATGAGTACTATGTAGTAAAAGATGGCTATAAGGTTTTTTCTAAGATTTAACAATAACTATCTATTTAGCATCTATAAAGGGATTTTCTAAAAAATAAAACTAACTCTATATTAATTGTATTCTTCTTATAATAGTTGACTATCTATAATTCACTTAGATTTTGGATAAAGAATGCTTTGCTATTGACTAATGATACTTTGCAAACTTATTGACTAATGATATTTTGCACCTTAAAATGTCAATTTATCACTTATTAAAGACAACATGCCATTGTTATTAGATGCTTAAATTTTTTACAAAGAATTATCATGTCTATATTAGATTAGAGTAATTCTATAAACACATTATTAAATAATCAAAAGCATAAGAAAGTAGTGATTTTATATACATATATTAAAAAACAAAATAGTAAATTATAAAACTAATTTTAAACATGTTTTAATTTTTGGTCATCAAAAGGTGTATAAGAGGTCTCTTCTTGTGAATATTCAAACCTGAAT